GGTACCAGGGATCGGAACTCACAACCTCGCACTTGCAAGGCAGGCACTTATGCAGCTGAGCTAAATCCCCAGCCCCAAGGGGCTACCTGTGCATCACTAATGTCCCTTAGGCACCACCCCAAACCTAAGCTACATGTAAGCCCCCACACCACGGTCTGGCGGAGAGAATGCCAGACCCCACAGGATCAGGGGGTCTCTCCCCACATTCTTAAAATAAAGGTCATTTATATTTCATACTTCTTTTCAGCCCGCCAAAATCCTATCAGATGGTTCCCTTCCCCACCCAAAATTTTATCAGTTGCTACCTTAAATTATGCAAATTGATTCTTCTGCATGTCCTTATCTCTGAATTTTGCAGAGACGCTTTTCTCTCTACCTGGCTAGTGAGCTCAAGTTACTCACGAAATTCCCACCATCCTCACTGTCACTCTTCCCTGAGCCACTCCCCTTCTTCACAAGATAATAAATTCTGGGAGAGGCCTAGGATCAGGGCCTTTGTCCTTGCATCCTCACGGAGATTGGATTTAGGACCCCTTGGCTGCCCTTCACTTGGAGTATGTCTTGGTGTCTTATGCTCCTTGTGGCTTGCATTGGAGGTATTAACTTCTGGTATTCCAGTAATGTCTCAATGGGATCACAAATACAACTTTTTGGATTGTGAGGAAAACTAGAAAAGGCATGACGATACTTGGATAACTACTCAATGTTTGGGATTACAATAGTGACCTAACCAAACTGATATGCACTTTCTTTTGAATTTGTTTTCCAAGTCACACTGCTCGTTTATTTCAAGGTTTTGCAGAAGAGCAGTAATTCTTCTTGAGCCATGTATAGAGGCACATATCTGGCTTTTTTTGGGGGGGAAACCAGGGGTCAAACTCACAACCTCACGCTTGCCAAGCGGGCGTTTACACGACTGAGTTAAATCCCTGGCAGTGGAACATATCTGCAATCTCAGCACTCCAGGAGGATGAAGCAGGAGGATCAAAGGTTTGAATCCAGTCCAGGTAACTTAACAAGCCTATCTGAAAAACAATTTAAGTGTCTGGAGATGTAGGTCATTGTGAAGGGCCGGCGTGCAATCCAGGTACCAGAAGAGACAGAGACAGAGAGAGACACAGAGACAGGGAGAGAGAATAAAGAAAAAGATAGCGAGAGGGAGGGGAAGGAAGTCCAGTTCCTCCTGGAAGTGCCCCTCACTGGTACTCCTTCAGGAGTGATGATACGTCACACATATTTCATACCACACAACTGTTTTGTAATCTTAATAATCTTTTATCTTCTTCTTCTTGAGATAGGTCTTGCTGTGTTGCTTAGGCCGACCCTGAACATATGGGCTGAAATGATCCCCCTACCACATGGGTGAGAGTTGGCTTTTGTGTGGTCTCTCCCAAGTGTCATCTTAAGGGTGACCGCTCACCTCACCCCTAGGACCACCTGAGGACAACATTCCTTAAGGCAGAGGACATGAAACTAACCTCAGTCCAAAGGGAGCATGGCAGCCCGAAACATGACATTTCATCAAGGCAGCACAGGCGGGGCCCTCCGAGGCATTTTCTTAGACCCACAGGACAGCTCATAATTGCCAGATGATGTGATCTAAGCAACTTCTACCTCAAGATCAGCCTTTGGCAGCTAAGACCTGGTGCTAACTCTGCTTTCCCACACGCTTCTCCTACCTCAGGTCTGAGTCACGGTTCAGATAAGCCGTGGCTGACACCCTTCCCCAGCCGCACCTTGCCACCACCCTTTTGCCTAGGCTGATGCCCTGATGAGTACTCCAGGTGGCTCTGCCTGTCTCCTCCACCCCGTCACCCAGCCCTGCCCTGCCTCCAGTCCCTGTCTCTCTCACTCTGACTCACACCTGTCCACAGGCACCAGCCTCTGGGTGCAAGACGATGGCCGAGTGGCCCACGAGGGTCGTGTGGCTGAGTCTTCGCTGCGTCCGAGTGTGTACCTAGAAGCCTGCGGAAGGAAGTGGGGTCACTCAAGATGGAAGTGGAAAGGGCATGGGGGAGGCCACGTCTCCACCATGACGGGGTCTCTGCTCCTGGCCCCGACGCAAAGCCCACCTGCCTCCATCGTGACCCGGGGCTGCCGCTGTGGTCACCTCACAGCTGACGGGAAAGGGAAATCCTTCAGTGCCTTCAGTGCCAAGTGCTGTCAGCAATGTTACCTCAACTGTGTTGGTGAAATCAGGCCACTCATGAAGGTTTGGACCTTAAACACGGTTTCTCGAGTGACTCGGAGGTGTTCTCTAATTTGTTTACACCAGTCAGTGTGTCCTCAGAACTGGGAAGAATGCTTTACATTTGGCTGTCATGATTATTTTTAATTATCACAGAAACAACTTTTAAAGTACTGGAAATAGAGCAAGGCAGGAGAAAAAATAAAAGGCCAAAATCCCAACATGAATGACAATTATATTATCACCCAGTTTTTTTTCTAGATTCTTTTTGGAATTTACTCACTAGTACTTAAAATTAGATGTTTGTAATCTGCTGACAAGCCGTAACGCAGGGGGGCAGGTGTTGTGCGCTTATGGGTTTATTCCCAGGAGAAGTGGAAACATTCCTCATGAAATAATTTGCTACTATGCCTTCTTCTCCATCTGCTGCGGAGGGGCAGGGACCCCAGTGCATTCTCAGAAGTTTCATGGAGAATTCCTGTTCTTTGGCTTTTGCTCAAAATTACTTATTCTGAAGAGTACAACGCTAACTTGCTTCCTGCACCCATCTATTATCTGACAATGTCATTTCGAATCCCAGCCTGTGACTCTCAAAACTTTTCTCAGGCTGTTGATAACGATGCCCAGCTGTACTTTGGGATGCCTGGAAGCTTTCTCTCACAGGTGAGCCTGTGGTTTCCAGGCGAACGCTTTTAGCAGTCGCTTCCCAGCAGCCTGAGCAGAACCAGCAGGTCCTCTAAAGACAGGCAGGTCCCTCACTGAGTATGTGTGGGAACTCCTGGGTCACGCAGGAGATACGAAATGTGCTTTCTCACTGACAGCTGTGAATGTCTTTTGAAGTATTTAACAGCAGGAGGTGTTAAACCCTTGGGGTTTGTGGGCCATAAGAAGTTCCTGAGGACTGTTTGGAAATCAGGATTTGGGGTTCACTGGGCTGATTAATTATTTTTAAACTCTCCAGAGAAGCCAGCCTGTCTGGGTAAGGGGCCCTTCCAGAGGGGCGTCCAGAGCCCCTCCTCTCTTCCTCCCACTTTCCCCGCCCTCCCCAACCCCTTCTCACCACCGCCTCCTCTAACCTGTGCTCCCTGGCATGTCTCTCACTCACCCTTGAGGATTCTGCTCTTTGCTGCTTCCAATGATGTTTAAATCGCTGTGTGGTGGGTTCCCTTTCTCTGCATTTCTTTCTCACTCTACCAGTCTCCCAGGTCTTCAGCTTATTTTATTATCCTTTGACTTTTGCTGTTTATTTTTTATTTATTTTTTTTAATGGATATCAGCTTCATAAATACTGTCTTCTCAACTTTCCAGAATTCTAGTGGTCTTTTACAACATGCTTTAATTCTTCCCAAAAACAATTTTAAAATTCTGACTCTCCCCACCTTTCAAGGGATTAGCTTCCTGTGCTTTTGCTGAAGAATGTCTGCACACAGGCCCCCCACGGATTTCCTTTTCTGCTCACTCCGCTGGAAAGTGGGTTGACGAGACACCAGGTTTGTCACCACAAGGTCCCCTGGAGCAGGGGAGGCACTGCCTTCCAGACTGCAGCGGGCAGCTTCTCCAGGGCTGGTTCCCAGACAGGGCTGGCACTGCGAGTGCGGGTCTTGGAGGGTGAGAGACTTCCCTCCTTCGCGGGACACGGAAAAGGGCAGGGTCCCTCCTGGGCACGGAGCTGGGGTTCCTTCTGCTTCCAGCAGCACCCCAACTCTCCGTGGTCTTCTCAGGGTTTTCCGTGAATTGTCTGCAGGCGTCCAACACAGCGGGACTGCAGTGCGGAAGGGGCGGACGCTGAACTATCGTGTGCACAGCTCCAGCCACTCCACCGCCTGTCCAGCAAGGGCATGACGCTGGCCAACCACATCTGGGGCTCAAATGGCGGGGCCCTGGCCACATCTCTCCCTCTGATCTCATCATAGAAACTGTTCCTATTCCATCTGTACATTGAATGTATGTTTCAGTTTGGAAGATTTCTCACTTTCTGTCACTGGTCATTTAGCGAAAAGCAGAAAGAGTCTGCTAAACAGAAAAAGCTGTGATTAACTTCTTGACTTTTATGGTGAGAAAGTCTCATTAAATGATTCCTTTCCTGATGTTAATATTTATGCGGCAATATGGTGTTCAGTGTTCAGCGAATAAAGGAGTTAGGCTCTGGATAAAGGCAGATAAGGCTTTAATCGGTTTCCTGTTGCTGACCTAGCAATGTCTTCATAATGGTACTCCCAGAGTCAGCCCGCAAAGGCACAGATTCAAGTCCTCTCTGTTTGGACTCCATCTGTAAGTAGAGCCTAAATCCTCAGAAAAAATCCAAAACAAATAACTGTAAGTACTTAGGAAACTGTGCTTGGTTTCTCTACTGACAACTCAAGCATCAGATAGATAGTAGTCTTAAAAAATGGTTATCGTTTTCCCGTTTGATTTTCCAATGGGTCTATGTAGTTCAGGCCGGTCCTGAACTCATTATGCAGCCCAAGCTGGTCTCAAACTCACAATGACTCTCCTGCCTCAGCCTGCTGAATACAGTACTGCGATTACAGGCTCACGCCACCATGCCCAGGGAGAAATGACAATCACTCTTAAAAGAACTCTCCATGTGACTTTTCTGAAGACTGCTTCAATTGTGTCCTAGACTAAAATGATTTTATTTTCACTACATTCTGAAGTTAGCTAGTTAAAAATCAACAGAAAGGAGAACCAGTCGGGGGAGCTTGGTAATTTTAGGAAATGCCTGAGCCCTGACTGAGCAACTTTGTGTGGAGTTCACTAGCTTGCCTAATACACTTCCATATGGTCAAAAACTTGCCAGACTGGCAGAAAGTTATTATAATTCAAACAAATTATTTATTCCAAGTTCCATCAGTGTGAGGTTTACCAAAAGTTATCACATAAGTGAACGATGAGATCAGAAATGAGTTTTCACAACTGTAACATTTCTGATGGAGCTAATATCTGCACGAGCCGGGTTAACAGATTCTGGGTGTTTCCATTATTGAGAATCCATGAAGAAAGTTTCAAAGTCCGGATCCAAGTCAGAAACGAGGGCGTCCACAAAATCATCAACAGAAGGGCACTTCTGCAGCATACCTGCAACCAGAAGAAAGGTCAGCCACGTGTTCTGGGGCCGTGGGCCCAGGGCAAATCCTTCCTCCATAACTTGGCTCTAAGGACATTTCATTATGTCACAGGCAGGATGTGACTCTTGAGGCCACCTTCTGAAGTATTCTTACTCTCTCATCAATACTTACGCTTAGAGATTTGAGTGCAAACACATCCTCAAGAATTGCTTTCTTTCGTTTTGGTACCAGGGATGGAACTCATGACCCTGCACTTGCCATGCAGTGGCTTATGCTGCGGAGGACATAAATCCCCAGCCCCTATCCTCAAGAGCTTTTGTTCCTGTAGATATCACCAGTCACTTGAAATGACATTAGAAAACAGAATAGTTTCAGCTATCTTCAACAGGAACGATACAGAATTTAGTGAGTTTAGTTACTTACTGAGTTTTACTATCAAGTTCTACACACTTCAAAATCACTCATTCACTCTTTCATAGAAATTTTACATCGGAATTGGTCTCTGGCTTTGCTCCAGATGTCCCTGTCTTAGAGAGCATCTACCCATCTTTGCAGCTTTCTAAAATGTAGAAATCACATAAAAGCTTTGTCAAGCAGATTTCCTACCTGCTATGCAAATTTGCTACACAGATAAAACAAGAAGTAGTAGAAGGCGCAGCAAGCTAAGGATTCTGTACAAAGCGGAACACATCCCTGTTCGGAAGAAGCCAAAGGTAAGGAGGGCAGCCATCAGGCTTGCGGCTTCCACTCACATCCTCGGGGTGGGGGCACTCAGGGCTGAGCGGTGGGCGGGCGCCCTAGGAAAGGACTTCCAACGGAGACCTCAACTCTCCTCCAGGACCTGCTGTTACCCTCTCAGGCTTTGGTGCAGTTCAACAAGCAGGTCTTGGATATTTGTGGTATACAACAGATCAGGTCAGTACATGCGCGTGAAGGACAAGACCAGAAAACTGTACAGGAATGTCCCCATGGGATTAAAGACCTAATCATAATTCCACCTCATACCATATTTAAAAGCTGATTTGAGGTGGCTACACATCTGTAAAAGCTAAGTTTAGTAAGTATTTAGAAGTGTTACAGGCAAAGGTTTCTCACGGATAAAGCAAAAGCCATTTAAAAAATTGGAGAGTCAGGTGAGACATGGTGGCACAAGCCTATATAGCCTGCCCTCAGGAGACTGAAGCAGGAAGATCAGCACGAATTCAAGACTGAACTGCATAGTGAGATCCTATCTCAACAGAAGCCCCCTCATCAGAATAAAACCATCTACTCTTTAAAAGGAACCATTAAGAGAATGAACAGGCAAAAGAGTGGGAGAAAATACAAAACATAACAATATATATATATATATATATATATATATATATATTTACACACACACACACATATGAACACCAATCCATCACAAAGTTTTTTTCTTAAGTTTTTTATTTTAAAAAGCTAAACACAAAAAAGGACAGAAACAATACAGAATTTTTTTTTTAAAAGTAGGAAATTAGCACTAGTTAATATAATGCATACTGTTAGCTTAGAAGTACTTGTTCAGGTTATAAGATTTAGGCTTCAAAAAAATGATCAAATAATCAAATAATGAAAGCACAAACTGTTCTTTTTGATGAACTATCAGAAATTAGTAGCACAGCTTTCTATCTTGTACACACACACTTTCTATCTTGTATACACACATACATGTATACCTATATACATATAACCTTTTCTCTTCTTTTCTGCCTTCCCCTATAAAAAAGATGTGATATTTTTATACAAGGAAATATTACTCAGCTATAAAGAAGGATAATCTTGAGATTTTTATAGGTAAATGCAGGCAACTTGAGGTCATACTCATAAAAAGATTTTTAAAAAATTACAAAAGGACAAGATGTGACTTTTCACAAAAGAACACAGCTGGTGGACATGAAAAAGACACTCAGTGTTACTAGTCATTGGGAAATGAACATGAAATCACAGTGAGGTGCAATCACACATCCACAGGATGTCTAAAATGAGAAAGGCCACCAAACATTACCAAGGCTGCAGGCGGCCTGGACCTGGACATCTGTGGGGAAAGGTTAAAGGGATTCAACCGCGCTGGAAAAGGCCTAGCGGTTCCTCACAGATCTAAACACACACCTACCTGTGACCAGCAATCCCACTCCTATGTACTGAACCAAGGAGAGGTAAGAGGCACGTCAACAGAGGAAGGCCTCGCACATGCCCGCCCTGGACACAGCACGGGATCTTCATGCACAGCACACAGTGAAGCAACAAGGGACAACTGAACCGAGGACACTTCACACCAAGGAAGGAGACGCTGTCTGTGGCGGTGGCCCTTAGAGGCAGGCTTCACAACTAACTGGCTGAGAAAGCGCACTGGAACTGCTGACTGTCCCGTGATGTACCTGGCTAGGGATCTGAGCAGTGAAGGTGTGCATATGAACTAAACTTCATTCAATGGATCTGTGAGGATCTGTGCCCTCCACTCTAAAATTTTTACATAGTGACCACTGTTTAACACTACGAAGTCTCCAATGGTAAAATGTACTGACATCTACAGCGTACTGAAAACGGATTCACATGATGAGCTGATGGGCCATGCGAGGGGGATGGATGTCAGTGCTTCCCACGGTTAATCTAATGAATGCTCATTTGATATAAGTGGCAAGGAATGAGTATTTTCCACACTACTCATTCAACCATATTGAATGACAATTTTCAACAGATGACATTTTCAAGTGCAGATCAAAATGTTTTCACCTTTATTCTCGTTCACATTCTAACAGCTCCGTCTTAGGAAACAGTGGAGAAGGGTCAGTTACTGGAGAAGAACTTCACTGCTACTGCTTTATTAGTAAAAGGTAAGTTTGAAATGTGATCTTCCTATATAGTAAACTAATACCCATGGAGGATAGCAGGCCTCTCCTCTTAGGCAAACATGTCACCAAGAGGGGAATGCTGAGAGCCTGATGACCGCTGACTGCACTCACTGTGCACTGCAGCGTCTTAAGTAATCGTACGGAAGCAGATCCCATCTGATGACAGACAACGTCTTGAGCATTATGGAGTGCCACATTTCTGGACGTGGAACACATTTCTAGGGAAGGTATTTCAACATGGCTTTCAATTAAGTGTGCTAACCTGTTACACCATTTTCTTTTAGTATGTGAAACATTTCTGTAATTATAGGACTAGTTGTTTATAATTAAATGACTTGAACTGTCAGAAGGCGAAGCCATTTATTCAGAGCCAACCTATTCAGGTACAAGTCTGGCCATTCTGCGCCTTTGAAGTGGTTCACTTCAGCCCAACCAACTGCCGACATAAATATGACCCCAGGTTCTCCTTCTTGGCAGACAGACCTCGCTGACACACATTCTGCTCCAATTTCCCGCTGGAAACCACTTCTGCATCTACAGAATGGAGACTGTGGCAACAAGAGAAAAACACATACATCCGTGGTCCTTTTTCACAAAATATAATGACAGCTAAGAGGTCTGTAATTTTACACGAACTATGGCTGCTGAGGATGAAGGTATGAGGAGGAGAAAACCAGGACCTGAAGGAGTTAAGAATAATAGTTACTGGGGCAAAAACTCTCTGGGTACATAGTTACGGAGTTTTCGTTCTAATTAGACATAATGTTTTGCAGGTATCAGCATGAACTCATTCCTGCACAGAGAATCAAAAGGAAAATCCAGTGTTTTAGCCTGTTCCACAAATAAGAAAAACCGGAGCTTATGTAGGCATGTAGTTTAAAAATTCTACGAACACTTTGATTTAAATAAGAAAGCGGATGAAGATGTGCAGGTCTTAACTTTAAAAGGAGGATGCCAGACAGAGTTTGCACTTTCTCAGGCGCCCCTGGCATCTACATAGGAGCTGTTAGTGCCACCTGTGGCTGGAGCTGACACACGGATTTCACTGGGGCAATCACCTGAATTCTGTGGAAACAGGCAGATTTTTGTGAAAAGGAGTCAAACACACAAGCGATAACTTCACAACTAAAAAGAGAAGTGTCAACAGCAACAGAAGAAAAACACACTTGTATCATAGTATACATTCACAAATCAGTAAGAAGGAAACGACAAGTTGTTTCTTCTACTGATCCTCCTTAGAGTGACGGACAGAATACGGTGAGCAGCTGAAGATGATGGTTCTACTTCTCTCCTCATTTGACCTGAAAGGCGCATGGGCTAACAAGACAGAACCAGCCAGAATGTGTGCGTGCTGCCTGCCCTGCTCACAGCAGAATGAGCTTCATGAACTTGCGGTGAAGGATGGGTATTTCAGGCTGGCAACAGTGCGGGACGCCACAAATGGGTTCCAGGACTGACCTGGGGAGCAGGCGGGGCTACCACACGGCAGTGCACTCTGTTGACACAGAGCTCGAAACTGAGTGGAGACAGAGATGACCTGGGGTGGGGAGTGGTGACCCTCACAGATGGTCAGTCCAGAAAGGGCTCCTGGTAGGGCAGCCACCCTTCTCACCAACAATGAAAATAGCAACTTACAGAGCACTTGCTGAGTGCCAGGTAAGGCGCTATGAGTGCCAACACATTTGCTCCTTAGAATGTACCTGCGAGGGACCACCCTGACAAATGGGAGCACGTAAGGAGGTGGCACAATTCTTACATCCCAGGTGTTTGCTTTAGCCCTGACAGTTTGATTCCAGAGCCAGTGCTCTTCAGGCACTACACAGCTGCACTTAAATCCTTGGTGTCCTAGAGGTAACAAAAGCTGCATGTATGCAACGGGTCTAGACTAATGTCCCAGCTTCTGGATGCCACCCACAAACTGGGAAGCCTACTTATTCACTGTCTCCTTACTACCTGTAAGACAGAACCCAAATGCCCACCTTCTGGGCAATTTTCCTGCCTGCCCCAGGGAGTACACTTCATGAGCAGTCACAACCGTAGAACTACGTGGGACATGAGGGGGCTCTGTCCAGCTGTATGGGGACTGGAACACCCAGAAGACTGGGAAGTCACTCCATGACCCAAGGCCTCTTCCCCT